GCTCTTTGGGTTTAGCATGGTATGTCGGATGTAGGAGTGTTTACACAGTCTCCCTCCTGCTCTCCTGGTGCTGAAATAAGTGCATTAAGATGGATGGATTTACTTAGTCTCTAACCTTGGGATTTGGGGAACAAACTCTGAATGACCTCTTTGTACTGCTGAAGGGGACTGAAGGAGAGTGACCCACACTGCCGCTGTGTGTGTCAGTTGCTTCTGCACCAACAGGCCCATTTACAACATCCTAAAACTGGTCCTCCATCAACAAACTTCTACAAAATGGGCACCAACTAGACACTGGGCCTCACATACACTGTTTACCCCAAAGAGTTACCTGCCAGAAACTCCATAACTGGACCTGACTGTTTTCACTTATTACAGTTTACCTGTGTATTTTTAAACTAAACGGTTAAAGATTATTTTTTCTAAGATGAATAAATATACTACAGCAGGAAGAATGATTTAAAGAAAAAATAATCTGACGGATCGCTTTCTTTAATTGAGGTTAGGAGCAACCAGCCGTGATCAATACAAACGTTTACATAAATTGCTGAAAAGCTGCAGCTGGACAAATTGTAATTTTACCACTAAAAACAACAAAGTTAATGTGAGCTGCAGACGGGGGCAATTGTTTGCAGCAGCGAGGCACTAAATCAGCCTGTGTTTCCCTTGATTTGTTAACCTTTGTGTGGCTGTGTCAGCAGAAGAAGCATGGCTGAAACGGCCCCTTTTGTGGTCATGAAATACAGCCTCGCTGGCTGTGTAGTTGCATCTACTGAAAGGAGAGGGGAGGGGGTCCCGCTCAGCAGCACAGGATATTGAGCTTCCTTTACCCTTTAGAGATACATTAACAGCCCTAGTAGGGGATGAATACGCAATAGAAGCAAAGACCACTGGGTAAACACTTGGAATCTGCTTAAGTGATCCAGGGTTCAGAGTTAAGTCCTGTAGGCCACGAGGTTGTTTTTTTTTCTTTCTTTCATGAAACATGCAAATTTAATATCAAAAGAGCATTTTGATATGTGTTAAGCTTGTGCTTAAGCCAAAAAGGCAACAGAGCTTTATTCCAGCAGTTATGTCTGAAAGGGAGGGAGCAGTGGCCTCTGGATGACCTCACAGCCCCAGGCAGGCGAAAAAGAAGACGTCCATGACTGCAGCCTTTCCTCAAAATGCACAAAAGGCCAATGGTAGTCAGGTCATCTTTCCACTGTGTATCAGGTCAAGTTCCACAGGCAGCCCTGATTTCTTGACACACCAACCCACACAGACGGCAGAGGTCAACACCGGGGCAGTGCAGGGAGCCTGGGGCAGTAAACCAACACTTGTGCTGTGAAAGGCCAACCTTCTCTTTCCAGTCCAGTGAATGAGTTAAGGACCTGCCTGGGTGATTTGTGGCATCAATGTTGCTCTCTATATCACTTCAGTTTACAGCAGGTGGTGGCCAACAGCCTGCTAATACACACAGCTCCAACACCAGCCGTCCTCACAGGAAGCTGAGAGAACGATGCAGAAATAGAGAAAAACAAGTCCTCAGCTGCCTCCCACACAGCAGCAATATGCTCAAAGGCAATTTTGCTGCCGGCAGCGCTCTCTATGACAATCCAGGGAGCTCTTCAGCTCTGATATCTGCCACAAAAGTTCACCTCCGCTTCTCTCTTTTCACAATTTTTTTTTAAACAATGTCATCAATGCTGCAAATTACAGCTTCTATGCACTCAGTATTCTCTGCCTCGGTGACAGGCGCACTCAAGCCTGACACACTTCACCGGCGGCGCTCTTCATGCCGATGTCAGCCTGGGGTCTCACTGTAGCACCGCTTCATTTTCACATTAACTCCAGTAAAGCATGCTGGAATCAGTGTTATGCTGAGGAGGAAACTGAGAATCACTACACCCTACACCCCAATTCACCCCCACGCTGTACTCGCTCTCACATTACTGCAGATGGTATTTCACCTGGGATGAGAATCTCAATATTTTAAAGCAGATTGGAAAAACAACTTAAACGTGCACACTCTTTGGTGAGAAAATTAAGTGAGTTACACTTTTACGGCAACGTGACACAGTTCATGTATGTGCACGCAATAAGGATATTTTGGTTTAGATATGACATCATTGAAGAATAATAATTTGTTTACACTAGACCAGGATATGTGTTTAGTAACTGCTACGGACGGCAATGGACGGCTAGTGGTGGTAAGAACAACCTGGTCATCGGTTAAACAGAGATCAACAATGTTAAACGGTCACTGCAGTGGTAGCTGCTGATGGTGATCTGTAGCTTCTCCAAGCAATCATTCTGTTTTAAACAGACTATCTCCGGAAGCACAAGGCAGCGTCAGCAGTTCACTGATGAGAACATTTTCATGTCTCCTCTTGATGAATTGCACTGCAGAGCTTTTTAAATGTCATCTAGCATTATCTTTATCTACACAACAAACAATACACACCGAGTCCTGCGGCTGCAGTGCAATGACCTGCAGTAGCTCAGTCTTCAGGACAGCCTGAGGACTGACAGTATCTTGACGGATGGGATTGTAACTGGGTGACAAGATATTACTGCCCTGGGACACAGCTTTAATCATTTGATAGATCTGTCTGCGGGGCCCGGGGATGACACATTGCTGTGGCCTGCCACTACAGGTATCTGTGCTCCAGTGGCCTCCCCAAACAACGTGGCCTGGTTAAAGATTTTACACTCTGCCCTGAAAGGAGAACAGGCTCTGGTGAAGTCTGACAGGCTGCTAATAGAGAACAGCACAGCTTTTTGACTCCAGCTTGTTCTCCTGCGGAACACATGAATCACGATAGTCTGCCGACAACCTGCAGGCATATCAGCGACCGTGTTAATTGCAGCTAGCATTTAATGACTCCGAGTTAATGAAATCCTTTCCTGGGCAGTGAACTGAACCCAGGATTAGACAGAAAAAGAGAGAGAGGAAGAGCAGAAGAGTGATCATGACTTAATGCTCCACATTAGACACACACATAGACAAATGTGCACAGCTGACAACCAAGGCCCTGAGGTGATGCTGACAAAAGTGGGAGGGAAAATAACATCACATAAGTCGGATTACTTTTTGCGTGTGTCTGTTTTAGACTTTGTTTAAAAAACACTTTTGAAGGAGACATTAAAACGACACATCAATACGGTGATTATTGAGCAGTAAAACATGAGCTTAGTCTTCAGAGATCTGACGTCGCCCCTGGCCATGTCAAATCCTGTTGCAGTGAAAGCATAAATTCATCTTCAGAAAATCTCTGAGTGAGCAGCTGAATAAAATGACATCCTCCTCACTAATATAATAACAATAATAATAGAATAGGTCATTTTTGTCTGTTTTAGACTTGGTTTAAAACACTTTTGAAGAAAGAAGAATCATCATAAAATAATACTTATAATAATAAAATATGTATTGCACTTTAAATTAGCATTATTGGGAATAATATTTTTCAGATTTTATTTTCAGTACGGCAGTTGAACCCCCCTCTCCCCTCCCCATCTTTGCTGTTTGTCTATGACTTGTGAATTCAAACAGGGAATGACTCACAACTAACCTGCTCTGCAAATACACAATTATATCTTTATTTACCATTCCTACTCTGTAGAAGCTGTTGCTTTGTTGCAAATCGGTTTTGCATGTCATGTCAGGGTTTTGTGGGGCCTACGTTCAACCCTAAAGCTAAATAAACATCAATGCAGCATCAATAATTTGCCAAAACAGCAAAAACAAATACAGACTTCGTGCACCTGCCTTTGGGCAAATATTGACATTCATCTTCCCACCAACGAACCTGTCTTGCTGTTTTTGTTGGAATCATTGCCGGTGCAATGTTTTGGTAGCATTATAGCCCTGGTAATCCCCTCTAACAAAAACCTTCTGACTCTTTAATCTTAACACCAACCTCCATAAAAATACCAGGGCTCCGTGCCTTTGCTGCACCTGGATTTTTTACTCGCTTTTTGCTATAGCAGCAGGAATTAGCATATGGCAGGAGAAGAGGAGGGGACAGATAGGGTAAAAGAGAAGAAAAGAGGGGACATTTAAATGGAAATAGGGGCCAGGAGAGTGGACTACCATGCAACTGAGAGAAAGCGTATTTTTGTACTGTTTCTCCACTCAGGTCCTTTCATTTAGGGGGAGAGAGGGCGGCTTTCTGTTGATTTAGGCAACACAAAGGGGGCCTTAATCCTTTCAAGGGAACCAAATAAGTCCACAGAGAAGCACGTTCAAAAGGAAACCTCCCTGTCAAGCAAGGCCATTGAGCCTTCCCAAAGGATGCCACAAATCAAGCCCTGAAGGGAATCAAAGGCCAGAATGTGGGAAATGTGCTTGGAAGTCTACACAGAGAGAATAGTGCGGAGAAAAGAGGGGAGGTACACAGACCTGTCATCAGAAGTCGGCCCTGTTTCTGCCACAGCCCTGAAGGGGTCGTAACCCTCATCTCTGAGACGTCCCCCTGCCCTGCACGCTAACCCACCATTACAGAGGAATGTCCATTCACGCAGGGCACCTCCATTATCCCTGCATCGTAGCAAAAGAGGCTGCTTCTAACAGCGAATTAGTGACTTAATAATGAGGTCACATGTGGTGCTGGCACACTGAGGCAATAAGCAGATGCCCTTCCTGCCCTCGCCTTACTTCCCGCCGCCGCAGTGGCACATCATTGTTGTGCGTCCGTCTTGCAAATGTGAATGCATATCAGGACATTTGCAACAAGCGTCACAGTGGTTCTGTGTCATTTCAAAACACAAGTTCATACATATTTTTAAAAAAAACAACATACGTCTGCATTTGCTGTGTTTTTTTTTTTTTTGCTTTAGTTTGTTTACCTCAGGTGAATAAAAACAACTGAGCTTTTTTTTTTATTAACGCTGTGCAAATTTTCATCTGGATCTGATGTATCATACAAAACTATCAATGCACAGCGGCAAAGAAACACAATTTAATTTCCACAACATCACCTCAGCGGAGCGACAAATATACAAAATAATATGTTTACCTTTAACTGCAGCTGTGCTGAAAAAATTCTCCGAGGCAGCATCAGAGACCTGGAAGAGACAAGAATGGGAAAAAGTTGAATAAAAAAGATAAATAAACATAAAATTATTTTCAACTTTCCATATAAATTCAGAGAATATACCATTGTGTTAGAACAAACTGATTTATAATCTGAAATCTACACATTTGTATTTTAGAGCAAATCTTTCACCCAAACTGTCTATTCTTGGTCATTAAACACCATTGTCATGTGAATACTAAACGATATTGTATTACCACAACAAATGTCAAGGTTAAATGTACTCCTATTTAGACCCCGCCACATCCAGCATGCAGACCGTCACACCCTAACCATGTCTAGAATTATTCAGGTAACCTGAGCATCATCACTATCATCAAACCAATCATTGAACAAAACAAGCGGCTCTTCACATTCAGGCCACTTGATGGCACTGTTGCTCTGCCAGGAATAGACCCATCCTTTCTCCGAGCCCGGCTCGGAAACTATCAGCGTGCTGGAATAAAATGTGAGTGAAATGGAAATAAAACCCGGATTCGCCATTTCATTCGAACAAAAGTAAAATGCAAGTTTCATTTTCAACCGACGAAATTTCAAGAAAACATTAGGTGAAATATCACTGTAATAATACTAACAATAATGAGCGCAGGTTTTAACAGGACACCACCCGTAGAACCACACATGGAGAATAAGGAGACAGTTTTCTCTAAACAACAACGATCGATTCAATATGCGATTCTTGATTTTTTTTTGTCCTAACTTCGACCTAATTTGCACACATGATGCAAGGTTACATTCCACTTTGACGGCACCTTAATATGCCCCTGCTGCTCGAAACCGTTGTAATGACAATGGTGTTCGGATCGGTCGTGTTCTGATAGCCCAAGTGCTATGACTATATATGCAAACACAAGTGTGCATATAAACAATTAGTCTCCGATGTGGGGAATTATCTCTATAAAAGACCTGTGTTAATGGTCTGGTTGGACGCGGAGCGAATGTAAACAATGAAAGCTCGGGTAAAAATGACAGCAGGTGTTGATCCTGGAATACAAAAATAGCATAAAGTAGTTTTTATTTTTGAAGGCTAGTGCAGGCGTCCACACACTGACAAATAAATCTAACATAAGAAAGCGATCAGCGCTCATACCTCCGAAGTGGTCAGGTCGGCGAGAAGGCAAACAAGTCAGGGTATTAGTTTCTCGGTCTGCTAAATATGTCCTTGTCTGACATTCTGCATTTCAAATCGAATAATCCACACAGCAGGAGGTGAAGTCTACTCCTTTTACATGGAGGACATCCATGCGGAGAGTCGAGGCTTTCCAAGAAAAAAAAAATCCAAAGCCGCTCACAAAGCTACAGCGCCTTTTGGACAAAGGGAAGCATGTGTCTGAACACGGAGAGCTTCAGTGTCCACAGCGAGCAGCCCAAATTCACTCTTCTTCATCTGCCTTGGTACACAACGGAGTTCTGAACAGGTAAATTCTCCTGCGGGAAATATCCGTGAGAGGAACAAACGGGATCCGTGTGTTTATGTGTCGGTGCACGGAGACGGGCTGCGTCCGATGGAGCAAACCAATCCAACAAAGCGCACAGCCAGTTTGATGCGTACAAATACGTACACGGAGAGTAGATAACGCACAAAAAAGTGGCCACAAAAATAATCAGCAAGTAGAAGCCCACTGTGTCCGTGTGTTCAGCTGAGGAGACCGTCTGTGGCTGATCCCGGTCGTTGGCACAGCAAAGCCTCTCCCCATCCGCTCCCAGTCAGCAGACAAACTCCCATTCATCCACAGACTGACTGCCCCGCTGCTGCTGCTGCTGCTGCTGCTGCTGATGCCTGGATCCTCCCACTTCCTGATTTACACATGGACTTAGATGCACAGCCTCGGTCGTGCTCCTTCGCAAGACTAACACGCGCGATTTTGGCCTTTAGAAAAGCATTGAGGTCACGGAGGCGCACATCGGTGTCCTTACCTTCTGCGTAAATGACGCGAAAAAGGGAAGAGAAAAGCGCACCAGAGCTGGATAAGGAAGCAGGCGAGAGAGAGAGAGAGAGAGAGAGAGGGACAGAGGGTGAATGTGAGTGGAAAAGAGAAAGAAGGGCGAAGGGAGGGGGAGCTGAATGAAAAAATATATTCTTTCTTTCCTCCTGCACTGAGTGAGGTGATGTCAGCCACTAATGAATTCCCCAGTAGGGTGCTGCTACCGTGAGGGGAGGAAAAACAAAACGCTCCTTTATAAACAGCATGCACCTCCTCACAGCCCACAGGCTGTGTTTTCCTGTTGGATCAGCTCCCACTGCACTGGCCTGAAGGGAGGTCAGCCGACACTAGGGAAAGCACTCGGAGTCATCCAGCCTTCAGTGTGAGCTTTGAGCTCCGGCTGGCCCACCCTGACGGAGCTGGGACTTAACGAGCTTCCACTCTGACACTGCGCACATCAATTACAACAACCACGTTTCTAATTATGGCTTAACGTCACCAAGCCCTGGGAGGATTCTCTCTATCTACTGGTTGGGGTCACAACACATCAGTCTTGCAGGAATTGGACTTTGAGTTGTTCTACTCTGTCTTTTTTGGCACGGTGCACCTTTTTAAAAAAGGTCTGTTTGGTTAAGAATCACATAGAAGATCTGAAGGTTGAAAGTTATTTTGTCATGAGAAGCAGTGATGCTCCTCCCTGATGTTGGAGAGTCCAGGAGTTGGTCTGGTGCTGCTGTGTTCTGGGCTCAAATCTAGCCAGTCAACCAAAGTCTTCAAAACCTTTCAAAATATTTTGAATTTACATTTATTTCAAAGCCGATTAGAACGCACCAGTCACCCAGGGCGCCACCTGCTGAGGGTGGCAGCTGCCACAAGCCCTCACAAAAAACAACATATCTACAGTAAAATAAGTATTAAATATTTAATAATTTGCAACTCTCCCTTTTAGTCATGCTTAGTCTGAAATTTGTATGAATGAAAATTACTAGCTATTCCCGGCAATAACTTAATCCTACACTTAAACTTTGCATTCCGTTTTTGCATCATATTGTACTGTTTTGTATTGTTTAAACATTTCTAAATAGTCACACAACCGTAACTGCAACTTTCTTTCTTTTTTTAAATTGTTATTTATTTTGAATATTATTTAAGTGAGTGTTTTATAGTGTATTTCTCTTAGGGCACCAAAAAGGCTAGAGCCTCTGCCTACATGATCATGTGTTCTTTATGTAAGAGGACTCATGTTTATGTAATGTGTAGATGTGTACATTGTTTACTGAAACTGCAAAATAACCACCGACTGCCAATCGTACAGTCAATCATTATTGATAACAACAGTGAAATGACTCAGCTCTGCACCACAAATCAGAAACAAACATGTTTTAAATGAGACGCAATGGTATAGAAATTTGTAGTTAGGCCGCAAGGTTTGATCCTGTGATCAAATCTCATGTGTTTGAAGCAGAGATTGTGATGAAACATTTAGAACACACAGTGGTTTGGCTTCAAACACGAGTCACGGCCGACATCGAGGAAGGTATTTACCCAACTGCCACCGAGAGAAAATGGCTACCAGTCATTTCCGGACGCCTGTGCAGCAACAGCAGCAGCAGCAGCGGCGGTGGCGGCAGCAGCAATGAACGAGCTGCTGTTCTCTATTTTAAATGGCCATTATCAGATTTGAGAGGGACCACAAGTCTGTGATTAGAGCTACACTGCCAAACAATCAGCGTCCACATCTCTCACCGCACATTATTTTTAATTCAAATGAGACGCTGACAGTGACGAACATGCACATACAAAATGAGAAGCCTGCTCAGTTTTACCGTGGAAAAACCATCAGCCTCGCTGCAGAACGAAACGCAGAGATCAAACGCAGTGTCTGGATGTATGCTTCGTAGCTCAGTAATTGCTGTCTAGGCACGTAAGTTCTGTCTCCCAACAATCAGCTTCACACTGACATTTTGTCATCTTTTATTCTTTTTTTTGGACACTGATTCTCCACTTCAAAGACACCAGAGGCAAAACCACAACTATGGGTTAATTTTACAGGAACTCTCTCTCTTAGATTACAATCACAGGGGACCAGCTTGTCTTTATGAGCCTTCCTGCCATTATGCCAAATCTACCCTCATTTAAAATATCACTGATAAGTGTAACATGAGTGCTGGCAATGGGATAGGCTAAAAGCTTTTATTATGTTTGCCTGCTGACAAGCTCTGTCTCAGCTTTACAGAAGTGAAAAGGCCTTTCATGTATTCAGACTCACAAGGCAAAGGCTGAGAGAAAACATTTTTTTTGTTTTCTGGAAACACATTTTTTGGGGCTTGATATAACAAGTCGATGGGCATTCTTTTCAGTTTCAACTCACTGTGACAACTTTGCTAGAATCAGAAAAGTAACTTGGTGAGTCTACAGCTAGGCTGTACAATCATAGCAGACCGTTGACTCATCATCACATCAACCATAGCAGGACCAGGAGATTCTTTAACTATCAGACATGTTAACACTAACAACAGCTAACTAGCTATGTCTAGTCAGTGGTGGACATATTAACTGCCCTGTGGGGCTGGACTGACGTCAGACGAGTGTCTGACCTGAGGTTAAAGCCTCCACACATAAACACAGGCCTGGTGTTGAGATGGCATTTAAAACTACGGCAGTGTGTGAGAATAACACATTCTAATCTACACAGATCTGTTAATGTGATCAATACATTTATTTCAACAGCCCAAAATAAAAACAACCATGATAATATTAATGACCACAACAACAATGACCGTCTTCCTCATCATCATCATCACAGCTTGTGCATAAGAAGTCAGCTACATAACAAATACCATTGTGTTTAGCCACTTGTTCATTAAAATATAAACCTCTGACTTGGGTTAGGGTTCAGCCAACACTGAGTACAGTTCTGCTGAGCACCTCAAGTCTTTAACTTGACATAATCTAACTGTAGAAATAGAAAAGTTACTAATACAAGACTCAGACTATTTAAGTGTTAATATAAGTGGATGGGTGTGGTTTTGGTGAGTTGCATCTA